CACGGTGGCAGGCGGGGGTTGATGAGCAGCAACGGCATGCAGGGGCCGTTGAGCACGGGCGAGGGCGAGACGGGGAGGCCGCAATGGGGGAGCGACGCCGCCGGCGCAGCCGCACGCACAGCGACAAGGGCGAGCGGGACCAGCAGGTGCTGTTTCATCACCACCACACCGAGCGCCTCATCGACCACCACCAGCACGCCCGGCTCGACCAGGCCAGCACGGTCAAGCCGAGCAGCACCGCCACCGTTGTTGCCGAGATGTCGTCGAGCTCGAGCTCGAGCACCACCGTGAGCACCACCTTAAGCTCCGGCGGCAATCGAAAGGCTAGTCCGACCACTGCGTGTTCGGCCTCACCGCGACCCTCGGCCGGACGAATCGATCGGCGGAGCCTCACGTCGCTTGTCGCCCCTATCGAGCTGACTTCGTCTCCGTCATCGCCGTCGTCGACCTCGCCCGCCACCGGTCGACGACAAAGCGGCGTCTTCAGCGTCGGCGGCAGAGGCAACAGCCCGCAATCGAGTCCGGGCGGCGACGTCGCCCCACCAGCGGGCAGCACGGACGGCGGCGCTTGCGGTCGAGCTCAGCGCAAGAGTCTGGGGCTCTCGACGGAGGGCGTCAAGCGCAAGAGCCAGCGCCTCCTCCGGACCATCCACTCGGAGGAGTTTGCGACGCTCTCCACCACTTCGCCGTCATTGTCGTCATCGTCCGCGGACGGCGTTAACGAGAATAACAGCAGCCACAACAACAACAACGTTGGGCACACCAGCAAAAGTCAGGAAACGCCGCTGATGGACGACCTGGGCTACAGCGTCAATCTCTCGCCCCGGTGCTCGCCCACTGGTATGTTTGCTGGTGGAGCTCCTTCATTCGTCGCATTCCATGGTGTGTGGTTAATAGGAGGCTTTTGTGGGTGGTACTGCAGGTCGCAGGAGGTCGTTCAAGACGCTGATGGATCTAAAGCCCCAGGAAGCGCAACAGGTGGACACCACCGACGAGCCGCAGACCCTCTCTCCACGCTCCTCACCCTTACGTACGATCATCATCACACACACTCGCACGCACGCACGCACGCACGCACGCACGCACGCACGCACGCACGCACACACACACACACACAGACACACACACACACAAGACATTACACGACACGAGCACATCGCACACACCGCGATTGATGGGTCGAGCACAGTGGGGAGGCGGCGATCGCAGAAGGCCGTGGCCAGTGACTTGAAGCCCGACAAGGCCTCGCTGCAGGCCGCGCGGTTCCGCCGCTTTCCGCTCGTCCTCCGCGAGATCCGCCCCTTCCGCGACGACTACCTCGCCACCTGGGACTTCCCCCACCCCCTCAAGCCCAGGTAAGACCCCAAAGCCCTGCCCCTTACCCTCACTCGTCACCGATTCTAACTCGTGTGCGTGTGCGTGTGCGTGTGCGTGCGGTGTGCTTGTGGGTCACGGAAGGGATTTTTGTGTGACTCGGTATTGTGCGGTGGAGGAGGGGCGAGCCTACGGCTGCTACTTCTCGTCGTACCGTAAGGACTGCCCAGCCACGGACACCCACACCCGAGGCATTTTGCACGGTTCGTTCTTCGTTCTTTTTCGTTTTCCGTTATTCGCTCTTCGTCGCTTTTCGTTCTTTCACGTTTGCCCTAACCCAACACCTCTTCCTGGCGCAGTGTCGGGCCACATCATCGAGAAGTCTGAGCCGACGGGCCAAAGCGCGGACCAGCTGGCCGACACGTCGGAGTCGTGTCTTCTCACGCTACTCATCCAAGTCGACCCCCGCGGCGACGGTGCGCACGCAACCACAGCCAATGATTGCTGGGCTTAAATGTCTGACATTCCTCTCTCTTCGATGGAAAAGCAGAGGACATTGATGGCGGGCTGTCGGAGAAACTCGCCCAGGAATGCGGTCGAGTGTTAAGGAATGTCACCAAATACTTTGAACTCCTCCACCGAAAGCAGCCTACAGCCACCGTACATACACCCCGCCCCCCACACATTCCTCACGTGCTTACGTTCTCATGCTCGTTCTCTGCGCTGGCCTCGGCACATCATCAGATGACCTGGGAGAGGCCGGTGCTGCCATGGAGCCGAACGCGCCCACAGTTCCTCAGCGCCCTCCCGCTGTCCAAGAGGAATCCACTCTCGCCCCGCCCGCAGGGAGCAAGCGCAGATCCCGTAGTCCCGCCAGGTACCAATACCACTTTCGCTTTCGCTTTTTGTTTTTCTCTTTCGCTTTCGTTTCGCTTTCGCTTTTTAATTGGCACTAAATGGGGCAGAGAGGGGAAGCGGAGAGCCGCTGAGCCTGGAGCAGCTCAGCACCACACCACCGCCCGATGCTCCGATCACCTCGTACCCCGCCACCTTCATCTCCACCGGCCACCTCTCGTCTCGCTCAAGTTTTTCATTGTTGCGCGCGCAGGGGCTGGCGGAAGGGGAGCACGCGCTCGCGAATCCTGCGCACCGCTGGCTGGCTGAAGCCCAGCCGGCGGGTCCCATCGCCCAGCGACTCGGACAACAACAGAGAAGGCACCACCAGCGCTTCAGGTGACAACCCTGGCCCGCACCACCAGCATCTGAGAGCACAACACCAACTCTGAGTTCTTCTCTTTTGTGGGCCACAGACGCCGACGCAGCAGCCACGGACCCGGATCTGACTGTGGAGGACACGGACGAGAGCGGAAGCGAGGAGCACCAGGGCCAGGACGAGGCGCAGCCGGAGCCCGGCCAACGGCGGCGGGCGGTGACGGAGAAGAAGAGCGGCAGCGAACGAGCGCCGCCGACATGTCGCAGGCGAGGTGGCACCACCACCAGTGTACGTACAAAGGTTTGACACGGCACAACACAACACAACACAACACAACACAACACAACACAACACAACACAACACAACACAACACAACACACATACATGACGCATGACACGCACCATTCACCACTTTGGTGGGCTGGGTGGCCTTCGTGCAGGAAGAGCACCCCTTCCGCAGCGTGTCATTCGATGAGCGGAGGAATCAGGGTGTTGAGAAGGAGACGACGAAAGGCGGGAAAGGAAAGAAGGAGAAGAAGGTCAAGAAGAAGGAGAAGAAGAAGACAAAGAAGGACAAGAAGAAAGAAGTGTTTATTGGCCAACAGCCAGCTGTAAATAGTTAATCACCAATAGACAAGAGGTGTGCTAGCCTTTACAGCACGAAGTGAGTAGGAAGCAAGTAAACGAGAAGACCAACCAAAGATAAGAATTCTTGGGCCATACCCCTAGAGCCCAGTTCCGTCCGTTTTGGATGTGAACGCCAAGCGCGGGTGGCATGGCAGCAATAGTTGCAGCATAGCCATCTGCACAATGGACAACAATTATACAAAGAAAGGGATCACTCGGTACAAGTGCGTGGTGGTACGGGGTAGGCCAGCCGTGATATCAACAAAGATGTACACGGGGTCGATCCGTTCTGCTATGTCTGGGCGTGACTCCACAAGCCTGCTGAGCTCAAAGTCGAAGTTGCCGTATGCAGCCTGAGCCTCAGCTGACGCATGTGCAACATCGATGGAGCGGACACCGGCCAATACGGCCACAAGTGCATCGATCTCGCCTGTCTCCCACTCCGTGAAGCTGCGGCCAGCCAAGCCCCTGATGACGGGCAAGAGCTCATCTGCCAGGACCCCACGGGGAGCAGGCTTTTCAGAAGGCCCAGGGGCTGGGTGCATTTCCCTGCAACAAGGTTTGTTTTGTAAGTCGATCGGGGGGGGGGCAGAAGCGTACATGTAGGCGATGGTCGTGCTTTGGATGGCTGTTCCCCAGCAGTTCGGGTGTTGACAGGAGAGTCGATCGTGACTCTCCACCCAAGCTGCCGCCCTTTGGGCCTTCTCCTCTGGCCAGTCCTCGGCTGCAGGGCTAAAGTCAAGCAACGAAACCATTACAAACAGTTTGTTGACAAGGGCAGGTGCACCTTCAAGATGACCAAAAGGGAGTGCCAACTTCACAAGGCCAGCCAGGGGGCACTGGGGATGCGCCACCACCTCCTCACCGTGGCTCTCCATTGCACCGATTCAGTTGGCAAATGTGACACCTTCAATGGTGAAATAAAAAGAGAGGTGTGTTACATCCAGTGAGCCGAGAAAGGAAAGTGTGTTGTTTGTTGGAAGTACTCCTCAAGCCAGAAATGCTACTAAAATTATTTATTTCAGATGGGTCAGATAAAATAAAACCCACAGCGGGTGGTGAGACCAGGTGCGTTACATGTGCGTGTGCGGAAGAGGGCTTAGATGCCCATCGCCTTCCTGCGCTCCTCGCGCTTGCGGCGCCTCTCCTCGCGCTCGCGGTCGGCCTCCGACTCGCCCGTGCGCTCGAGCTCCTCCGCGCGCTTCCTGCGCTCCTCGCGCTTGCGGCGGAGCTCCTCCTCTTCGGCCCGCTCCTCCTCCTCCAGCTTGCGCAGCCGCTCCTTACGCGCCTGCTCGCGCTTGCGCAGCTCCTCCTCGAACGCCGCATCGTCGTCGTCCAGCGCCGCCAGACGGGACGCACGGTCCGCCCGCGACGAAGCGGCGGGAGACGAGGCCGACGCGGCAGGGGCGGCGGCAGGGATGGGCGAGGTGGAGCGGGAGGTGCGGGACGGGGCTTCGACGCCGGCGTCGCGCCTGCGGGCGCGGCGGGCCTCCTCCTCGGCCTCCTCGCGCTTGCGGCGCATCTCGGCCTCGCGCTCGGCCTGCGCCTCCTTCTTCTTGCGCTCCTCCTCCTCGCGCTTCTTCTTGGCCTCCTCGGCCCGCCTCTGCTGCGTGCGTGCCTGCGACTCACGAGCTGTGTGTGTCGTATGTGTGGTGTGTGCGGTGGTGTGTGTCGCGTGAGCCAACGTCTACGCTGTGTTGCCATCAAGGGCGTGGAGAGAGCGTGTGGGAAGGCGTACAGGCGTCGGTGGCGACGCCGGCGATGGACGAGGTGTCGAAGAAGTCGTCAAAGTCGGCCATGGGGGCGACGCGGGCGGCCTGGAGGCTGGCGTGCACGGCCTCGGCCTGGGTCTTGGCGGCAGCGCGCTGGCGAATGAGGTCGGCCTTCTTCCTCTTGGCCTCCTCGCGCTGCTGGGCCTTCTCGTCCCGCCACTTGGCCGTCTCCTCCTCCTTCACCGCGCGCAGCTCGGCACGCTTCTGGCGCTCGCGCTCCTCCATCTCGCGGACCTCGGCGTCGAGGCGCTGCTGCTCCTCCCACTTGCGCTTCTCCTCCTCCTTCTTCTTCTCGGCCAGCTCGGCCAGGCGGCGCTCATTGTACTCGCGGTCGTGCTCCTCCTTGCGCCGCAGGGCCTCCTGCTCCTCGCGGTAGCGCTCGACCTTCTCGCGCTCGGCCTCGTCGCGGCGGCGGGCGATGTCCTCCCGCCGGCGCTCGGCCCGGACGGCGCGCTCGGCCTCGTAGCGCTTCTGCTCCTCCTGTTCCTCGCGCCAGCGCTCCACCTTCTCGCGCTCCTTGGCGTCGCGCCAGGCCTGGATCTCGGCGTCGCGCCGCACCTTGCGCTCGGCCATGTCGCGCTCGAACCGCAGGCGCTCGTCGCGCTCGCGCTTGTAGAGCTCCTCCTTGGCCCGCTCCTGCTGCTCGCGGAGCTCGTCGAGGAACGCACGCCGGCGCTCGCGTCGGGCCTTCTCGTCCTGCTCGGCGCGCTTGATCTCCTCCATGCGGGCCATGCGCTCCTCATCCTCCTTGCGCTCGCGCTCGCGCTTGAGCTCGACCAGCCGGCGCTGGTTGGCCTCGCGCCGCTGCTCCTCCAGGCGCTTGAGCGCGGCCTGGTCCAGCCTCCAGGCCTCCTCCTTGGCCCGCTCCTCGGCCTCGCGCCGCCGCTCGACCTCCTCCCGGTGCCGCTCGCGCGCCTCGCGGCGCTCGCGCTCGTACCGCTTCTGCTCCTCCATCTCCTTCTTGAACCGCTCCTCCTTCTCCCGCTCCTCCTCGTCGCGCCGGCGGGCCATCTCCTCGGCCCGCTTCTGGCGGCGCTCCTCCCGCTCGCGCTCGGCCCGCTTGAGCTCGGCCTGCTCCTCGAGCCACTTCTCCTCCTTGCGGCGCTCCTCCTCCTCGCGGATGCGCTCCACCACCTCGCGCCGGCGCAGCTTGCGCTCCTCCCGCTCCCGCTCCTCCCGCTTGATCTCCTCCATGCGCCGCTCGCGCTCCTCGTCCTCCTTCCGCTCCTTCTCCTCCCGGATCTGCTTCAGACGCTCCAGGTACTTCTCCTTCTTCTCGCCTGCGCACGCACACACCACAGTCGACAAAATATGGGATGGTGGGTTAGAGGGTGAATGTGATGAATGCGGGGAATGCTGGGAATGAGATGGAGAGTGAGAGGAATGAGATGGGTGCCTTCGAGCTTGCGGAGGAGCTCCTGCTCCTTGCGCCACTCGTCCTCCTTGCGGCGCTCCTCCTCTTCGCGCTTGCGGGCGACCTCCTCCTGGCGGCGCTTGGCGCGCTCCTTGCGCTCGCGCTCGAGCTGCTTCTCCTGCTCCTTCTCGCGCTCGTACTGCTCCAGCTTCAGCTGCTCCTGCTGGGCCCTGATCTTCTCCAACTCGGCCTGACGCTTCTTCCGCGTCTCCTCCTTCGTCTCCTCCAGCATCCTATTACCCGCCGCCACAACCATCGCGGCCTCGTCAGTACACGACACACACGACACACGCGACCCCTGACAAGACGTACTTGAGCTCGGCGTCCTGGGCGAGCCACTTGAGCTCCTGCTCGCGGTCCTTCTGCTCGCGCCACTGCTTGAGCTCGGCCTCGCGCTTCTCGCGCTTCTCACGGCGCTCGTCCTCCTCGCGCTTGAGCTCCTCCATGCGGGCCAGCCGCTCGGCGTCCTCCTTGGCCTCGCGCTCGCTCCGGACCTGCTCGAGGCGCTGGCGGTAGCGCTCCTTGGCCTCGCCCTCGAGCCGCTTGAGCTTGGCCTGCTGCTTGCGCCACTTCTCCTCCTTCTGGCGCTCCTCCTCCTCGCGCTGGCGCTCGAGCTCCTCCCTTCGGCGCTTGAGCTTCTCGGCCTTCTCGGCGTCGCGGCGGCGCACCTCCTCCATCTCCTGGCGGAAGGTCTCCTCCTTGGCCCGCTCCTCCTCCTCCTTGCGGCGGAGGAGGTCCTCGCGGCGCTTGCGGAGGCGGTCCTGCCGCTCGGCGTCGAGCTGGCGGCGCTCCTCCTCCTGCTGGCGCCACTTCTCCTCGTTCTGGCGCTCCTGCTCCTCGCGCAGCCGCTCGAGCTCGCGCTGGCGCCGCTCCTTGCGGGCCTCGCGCTCCTCCTCCTCGGCGCGCAGCTCCTCCATGCGGGCGATGCGCTGCTCCTCCTCCTTGGCCTCGCGCTCCTCGCGCACCCGCTGGACGCGCTCCAGGTAGCGCTGGCGCGCCTCGCCCTCGAGCTCGCGCAACTTCTCCTGCTGCCGCATCCACTCGTCCTGCTTCTCGCGCTCCTCGCGCTCGCGCTGCTCGGCCAGCAGCTCGAGCCGGCGCTGGTGCCGCACGCGCTTCTCCTCCTCGAGGCGCTTGAGCTGGGCCTGCTCCTCGCGCCACTGCCGCTCCTTCTCGCGCTCCTCGGCCTCGCGCTTCTGCTCGATCTCCGCCGCCCGCTTCTTCCGGGCCTCCTCCTTCTCGCGCTGCAGCGCGCGGGCCTCGTCCTGCTCGCGCTTGAACATCTCCTCCTTGAGCCGCTCCTCCTCGTCGCGAATGCGGCGGATCTCCTCGGCCCGCCGGCGGCGGTACTCCTCCTTGGCCTCGTTGGCCCGCTGGGTCTCGGCCTGCAGCTTGCGCCACTCGAGCTCCTTGCGGCGCTCCTCCTCCTCCCGGCGGCGCTCCACCTCCAGCCGGCGCCGCTCGGCCCGCAGCTTGCGCTCCTCCTCGTCGCGCCGCCGCTCGGCCTCCTCCTCGCGCCACTTCTGCTCCTGCGCGCGCTCCTTCTCCTCGCGGAACTTGTCGAGCGCCAGCTTGCGACGCTCCTGCCGCGCGCGCAGCTCGTCCTCCTCGAGCTTGAGCTCCTCCATGCGGGCCATGCGCTCCTGCTCCTCCTTGGCCTCGCGCTCCTGCTTGAGCTGCTCGAGCCGCTGCCGGTAGCGCTCCTTGGCCTCGCCCTCGAGCCGCTTGAGCTTGGCCTGCTGCTTGCGCCACTTCTCCTCCTTCTGGCGCTCCTCCTCCTCGCGCTTGCGCTCGAGCTCCTCCCGGCGGCGGCGGAGCTTGTCGGCCTGCTCCTGCTCGCGGAGGCGCTGCTCCTCCATCTGCGCGCGGAACTCGTCCTCCTTGCGCTGCTCCTCCTCCTCGCGGCGGCGCTGGACCTCGGCCAGCCGCTGGCGCTTACGCTCGGCCTTGTCCTCCTCGTACTGGCGCTGCTCGGCCTGCTCGCGCCGCCACTGCTCCTCCTTGCGCTGCTCTTCCTCCTCGCGCAGCCGCTCGACCTCGGCCCGCCGGCGCTCCTTGCGCGCCGCACGCTCGGCCTCCTCGCGCTTGAGCTCCTCCATGCGGGCCTCGCGCTCCTGCTCCTCCTTGGCCTCGCGCTCCTGCTTGAGCTGCTCGAGCCGCTGGCGGTACCGCTCCTTGGCCTCGCCCTCGAGCTTGCGCAGCTTGGCCTGCTGCCGGCGGTACTTGTCCTCCTTGCGGCGCTCCTCCTCCTCGCGCTTCTTCTCCACCTCCTCGCGGCGCTTGCGCTCCTTCTCCTTGCGGAGGAGCTCGAGCTGCTTGAGCTCGTCCTGCTCGCGCTTGAAGGTCTCCTCCTTGATGCGCTCCTCCTCCTCGCGCTGGCGCTTGATCTCCTCGGCCCGGCGGCGCTTGGTCTCCTCCTTGTGCTGCGCCCACTCGCGCTCGGCGGCCTGCTCCTTGCGGAAGGCCTCCTCCTTGAGGCGCTCCTCGTCGGCCCGCAGCTTGTTGATCTCCTCCTGCCGCTTCTTGCGCGCCTCGTCCTTGCGCTCGTCGGCCAGCTGGCGCTCGAGCTGCTCGCGCTTCCACTCGAGCTCCTTGCGCTTCTCCTCCTCCTCGCGCAGCCGCTCGATCTCCTGCTTGCGGCGCTCGATCCGCGCGCGCTTCTCCTCCTCCTCGCGCTTGCGCTCGGCCTCGTCCTCGGCCCACTTGAGCTCCTTGAGGCGCTCCTGCTCCTCGCGGTGGCGCTCGAGCTCGTGACGGCGGCGCTCCTTGCGGGCGCGCATCTCCTCCTCCTCGGCGCGGAGGAGGGCCATGGCGCGGTCGCGCTCTTCGTTCTCCTGCCGCTCGCGCTCCTCGCGCAGCTTCTCGATGCGCTCCAGGTAGCGCTGGCGGGCCTCACCCTCGAGCCGGGCCAGCTTCTCCTGCTTGCGCATCCACTTCTCCTGCTTGCGGCGCTCCTCGGCCTCGCGCTTTTGCTCGAGCTCCTCCAGCCGGCGGCGCCAGCGCTCCTTCTCCTCCTCCTCGCGCAGCTTCAGCTCGGCCTGCTCCCGCTGGAAACGCTCCTCCTTCGCCCGGTCCTCCTCCTCGCGCAGCCGCGCCACCTCCTCCCGCCGCCGCCGCTTCCGCTCGGCCTTCTCCTCCTCCGCGAGCACCATCTCGGCCTGCTCGATGCGCCACTTCTCCTCGCGCTGCCGCTCCTGCTCCTCGCGCCACCGCTCCACCTCCTCCTCGCGCCGCTTCTGGCGCTCCTCCTTGATCCGCTCCTCCAGCCGCCGCTCGTCCTCCTCGCGCTTGAACTTCTCCTCCTGCACCCGCTCCTGCTCCTCCCGCCACCGGGCCAGCTCGGCATCGCGCCGCTCCTTGGCCCGCTGCTTCTCCTGCTCCTCGCGCTTGAGCTCCTCCATGCGGGCCACGCGCTCCTGCTCCTCCTTGGCCTCGCGCTCCTGCTTGAGCTGCTCGAGGCGCTGGCGGTACCGCTCCTTGGCCTCGCCCTCGAGCTTCTTGAGCTTGGCCTGCTGCTTGGCCCACTTGGCCTCCTTGCGCTTCTCCTCCTCCTCGCGCTTGCGCTCGACCTCCTCGCGACGCTTGCGGGCGTACTCCTGCTTGCGGGCCTCCTCCTGGCGGAGCTCGTCCTGCTCGCGCATGAACTGGGCCTCCTTCTCGCGCTCCTGGTGCTCGCGCTGGCGCTCGACCTCCTCGCGGCGCTTGCGGAGGCGCTCCTGCTTGTCGGCCTCCTCGCGCTTGAGGGCCTCCTGCTCCTGCCGGAACTGGGCCTCCTTGCGGCGCTCCTCCTCTTCGGCCCGCTTGGCCAGCTCCTCGCGGCGCCGGCGCAGGAAGGCCTCCTTGGACTCGTTGGCCTTGCGCTCGGCGGCCTGCTCCTCGCGGAACTTGCGCTCCTTGGCCTCCTCCTGGGCCTCGCGCAGCCGCTTGAGCTCAGCCTCGCGCTTGGCCTTGGCCGCCGCGCGCTCGGCCTCGTACTGCTTGCGCTCGCGCTCCTCGCGCGCCCACTGCTCCTCCTGCTTCTTCTCCTGCGCCGCCTTCCACTGGGCCAGCTCCTCCTCGCGCTTGCGGCGCCGCTCCTGCTTCTCCTGCTCCTCGCGCTTGAGCTCCTCCATGCGGGCCTCGCGCTCCTGCTCCTCCTTGGCCTCGCGCTCCTGCTTGAGCTGCTCGAGCCGCTGGCGGTAGCGCTCCTTGGCCTCACCCTCGAGCCGCTTGAGCTTGGCCTGCTTCTTGGCCCACTTCTCCTCCTTCTGGCGCTCCTCCTCCTCGCGCCGGCGCTCGAGCTCCTCGCGGCGCTTGCGGCGGCGCTCCTCCTTCTCCTCGTCGTGCAGGCGCTGCTCTTCGGCCGCGCGACGGAACTCCTCCTCCTTGCGGCGCTCGTCCTCCTCGCGGCGGCGCTCGATCTCCTGCTGGCGGAGGCGCTTGCGCTCCTTCTGCTCCTCCTCGAGTTGCTTGAGCTCGTCCTGCTCGCGCTTGAAGAGCTCCTCCTTGAGGGCCTCCTGCTGCTCGCGGAACTGCTGGACCTGCAGCGCGCGCTGGGCCTTGCGCGCCCGGCGCTCCTCCTCCTCAAGCTTGAGCTCGGCCATCTTGCGGGCGCGCTCCTCCTCCTCCTGGCGCTCGCGCTCGGCGCGGAGCTCCTCGAGGCGGGCCTTGAACCGCTCCTTCTTGTCGCCCTCGGCGCGCTTCATCTCCTCCTGGAGCTGCATGAAGGCCTGCTCGCGCTCCTGCTCCTCCTGCTCGCGCTTGCGCTGGACGAGCTCACGCCGCTTCTGCTCGCGCAGCTTCTTCTCCTGCTCCCACAGCTTCTGCTCCTCCTGCTCGCGCATGAACTGCGCCTCGCGCTCGCGCTCCTCCGCCTCCCGCTTGCGCCGCACCTCCTCCACGCGCTGCCGCTTGCGCTCGGCCTCGTCCTCCTCCTCCTTGCGCCGCGCCTCCTGTTCGCGCTTGAACTCGGCCTCCTTCCGCTTCTCGTCCTCCTCGCGCTGCTTCTCGATCAGGGCCTTGCGCCGCCGGGCGTACTCCTCCTTAGACTCCTCCGCGCGGCGGCTCAGCTCCAGCTCGCGCATGTACTGCAGCTCGCGCTCGGCCTCCTGCTTCTCGCGCCAGCGCTGGATCTCCTCCGCGCGCCGCAGCTTGGCCTCCTCGCGCTGGCGGTCCTCCGCCCGCCGCTCCTCCTCCTCCTCGCGGAACTTGGCCTCCTGCCGGCGCTCCTGCTCCTCCTTCCACCGCTCGAGCTCGCGCCGGCGGTGCTCGGCCTTGGCCCGCTTCTCCTCCTCCTCGAGCTTGAGCTCCTCCATGCGCCGCGCGCGCTCCTGCTCCTCCTTGGCCTCGCGCTCCTGCTTGAGCTTCTCCACGCGCTGCCGGTACCGCTCCTTCTTCTCGCCCTCGAGCTGCTGCAGCTCCTGCTGCATGCGCATGAACTCCTGCTCCCGGGCGCGCTCCTCCTGCTCGCGCTTCTGCTCGACCAGCTCGCGCCGCTGCCGCTCGCGCTGGGCCTTCTCCTCCTCCCAGGCGCGCTTCTCGGCGAGCTCCTGGCGGAAGCGCTCCTCCTTGGCGCGCTCCTCTTCCTCGCGCCGGCGCTCGAGCTCCTCCCGGCGGCGACGGCGGCGCTCCTCCTGCTCCTGCTCCTCGCGGCGCTTCTCCTCCATCTCGCGCATGAACTGCTCCTCCTTGCGCTTCTCGTCCTCGAGACGCACGCGCTCGATCATCTCCTGCCGGCGCTTGCGGTACTCCTCCTTGGACTCGGTGTCGCGCTTGACGGCCTCCTGCTCGCGCTTGAACTGCAGCTCGCGCTCGCGCTCCTGCTCCTCCTTCCACTTGGCCAGCTGCTCCTCGCGCCGCTTCTTGGCCGCGATCTTCTCCTCCTCGAGCGCCCGCCGCTCCTCGCGCTCGCGCTCCCACTCGCGCTCCTGCCGGGCCTCCTCCTGCTCCCGCAGCTTCTGCACCTGGGCCTCGCGCCGCTTCTGCCGCGCCACGCGCTCCTCCTCGATCAGGCGCAGCTCCTCCATCTGCAGCCGCTGGGCCTCGGCCTCCTTGTGCTCGCGCTCGACCTTGAGCTGCTCGAGGCGCTGGCGGTAGCGCTCCTTCTTCTCGCCCTCGAGCCGCTTGAGCTTGGCCTGCTGCCGCGCCCACTTCTCCTCCTTGGCGCGCTCCTCCTCCTCGCGCCGGCGCTCGATCTCCTCCCGGCGCTGCTTGAGCTTCTCCATCTTCTCCTCCTCCTGCTTCTCGCGCTCCTCCTGCTCGCGCTTGAACTGGGTCTCGCGCTCGCGCTCCTCCCGCTCGCGGCGTTCGTCGATCTCGCTCCGGCGCTGCTGCTTGATGGCATCCTTCTCCGAGTCGAGCTGGCGTTCGAGCTCCCGCTCGCGCTTCAGCAGCTCCTCGCGCTCGCGGCGCCTCTGCTCACGTCGCGCTTCGATGTCATCCACCTGGACGGCGGCGGTGGCGGTGGCCGCAGCACTGGGTTCGGGGCCTCTGTCATAGTATCAAGACCTCCAACCGTGAGTAAAGCAAAACAAATAAATGAAAACAAAAAAACAAAGCGGAAATAAAAAAACAAACAAAAACGAGGATGATGGAGGGACACGTACCCCCTCTCGCGAGCAGCCTTCTTGGCGGCGAGTTCGGCCTTGCGCCTTTCCAGTTCGGCGCGGCGTCGCTCTCTCTCGGCCTTCACATCGTCAGCCATGGCGACGGTGAATGGGCTCTACTCGTAGTCGATCGTTTAACGGTATCCAAGTAGTAGTGTACACTAACTGTGTGCGACAAGAAGAGGAACAGCGCTTCCGTTAATTCAATGCAATTGGAACAATGCAGGGTACAAAGGTTGAATCAACCAAACTCACAAATGTGGCGATTAAAAAGAACCCAAAAAAGAGAAGGGAAGGATTGGTACCAGCTCGAGCTTATGAAGAACTGAGCGTCCAATTCGCCAACCAGACAGTTGACGCTCAGACGATCCTGAACTCGAGAGGGCTGTTTTGGATTTGGTTGGTCTTTGCTCTGGTGAGTGTCGACGGGCTAAAGTGGTTGCCCCAACCAAAGAGGCAAGAGACACGCCAAGCACGAGACGCCTGGCCACCACTTCATGCCACACATTCCTCACGCGCCAAAGCGTTTTGCCCGACAAAATGCGCGGAATTTGAAGTATTTAACAAAGATGTGCACAACCGCAGAGAATCTAATCAGTCGAAGATCTCGTTGTAGGCGCGAGCGATAAGAAGGTTGGCGATGGCCAGGGCGTAGTGGAAGATGTCCACACGCGGGATGAGACCGAAGTAGTGTCCTGTCGAGCCGATGACTGTTCCCGAGAGGATGTAGAGGACGCTGCCGGCGATGAGGTACTTGCCGTCGATGGTGTAGGCAGGATTCTTGACGATGTACAGAATGCCGAGGTAGATGATGGCCAGCATGGCGAGAGCGCCAGTGACCAAGGTGTAGAGCTGCTTCGACGATGACATGAGGCCGTAGAAGACGAAGAAGTTGAAGAGGAGGAAGAGGAAGCCGAAGAAGAGGAAGTCGTGCCTCGACAAGTTGAACGTGGTGAGCGGGAGGTAGGTGTAGGCACATAGGCCGAGCAGAGGGGTGGAGAGGAAGAGGGCCAGGTTGGTGAAGAATTCGTGGGGCGCAATCGCAGACGCTACACGAGCGAACCGAAGCACGCCGAAAGAAGCGGCAATGCCGATGAGGAGGAACGCGATGGACGCGTAGAGCCTGGCCTCGCCCTTGACCAGCAGGTGCTGCAGCAGCCCCTCGGCGTATTCATGCGAATTGGGGTTGAGAAATCGCTTGCGGCCCTGCATCTCGACCAGCTCGTACGTGACGTAGAAGCACGACACGGCTAGCACCAGATCCGAGAACGATGTAGAGAGCTGCCTCGATTCCTTGCCGCCCCTCACCTTGACGGCATCCGTGCTCTTCTGCGCGCTCGGCGTCGCATCTGCTGGCGCTGCCGCGTCTCCCGCCTTCGGCTTGTCTCCACGCCTCTCTCGCATCATCTCTCTCTCTTAGTGCTTTGTTGCTGGCGCTGCACCGTGAAGTTGTGTTTGTTGTGTCTTTCGTGTCTTTGTTGTGCCGTCGCCCCACACTTCGTTCTTTTGTGACTTTCTTTTTTTTTTTTTGTTTTTCTTCCAATGTATGTTATGCGTCATTTTGACAATAAAGAAGGGTGTCACTCACAATCTCTCTCGTCTCTGTACTACACTCTCTCGGTCTCTGCATCTACCACACCCACGTTCCCGAGCTGGCCCAGCTCTCGCTCCTCTTCCCCCTCTACATCTCACTTTCCTCTACCTGTGCGTGGTGGTGTGAGGTCAGTGAAAAAGAAGGAGCAGAAGAAGGTGGAGGGCAATGAAGTGGTGGGCGCGTACACAGAATAGCAGCGCGCTTATTAAGCGCCCAGCTTGGCGCTCTTGCCCTCGTTAGGCAGAGGCGCCATCCAGTCGCTCGCTTCCTGGCAAAGCCTCCTGCGGTCTGTGGCTGGGGGAATGAGTCCAACAACGCTGCACGAGGGTGACAATCACAAGGTGATTGAACCAAAGGTCGACGTACCTGATGGTGGGAGCTCTCTCTTCTTCATCAAGCTGAGATCGGTCATGATCTCGTCGTCGTTCAGAGTGTAGTTGATGTGAGGCGCTGAGGCAGAGGAAGGCAATCTCACGTCAGGTAACATTCAATGAAAGCAAATGAAACGAGCAACGCGCAGCATTAGAGATTAGGGGGAGAGCAGCGTACGTTGCGCGGTCTTGTGTCGAGAATACGCTTGGCCATAACCGCCATCTTTATCTTTTCCACCTCTTCTGTTCCTGAGCACGCGCCCCTTGACAGCGCGAGCATCTCCATTTCCATCTGCCCGAGTGGAACACAACGAAGCAAAGGTCACGTGAGCCACGGTTCGCCAAAGGGTACAAGAACAGCGGAACGCACCTCCACGCAGGCTCATCGTGCTCTTCTCCTCTTCGAGTTTCTTTTGCTTGTCCAGGATCTCGTTGGCCATCTCATCTCTGAGGCTCCTCCTCTCGTGCTGTAACAATGGTGTGCGGCACACTGGTGTGAGCGACGCGCAAGCCTCGCAAGAGTAGCACGAGAGAAGTAAGAGGAGATAGAGTACGTTGTATTCCTCCTCGGCCTGAAGGCACTCAAACTGGAAGACATGCTCAATGTTCTGCAGCTGGTACTCCTTCCACTTCTCGGCCATCCACACCTAGAGAGCGGTGAAACCAAAGATGAGATCGAGCGTCTAAAAGAAAGAATAAATACAAAATATACAACAATCAAGCTGAACGAAAAGGGTTGATCAGTTCACCAACGCTCGTGTACCTTGGAGTTCTTCTTGATCTCGAGCTCCTGTGCCCGCTTTAGGAAGCCATCGTGTGAGCCTGAGGCAAAGAATGAGGATTTTTCGATTAGAAAGCCGGAGGAGGTGAACTCGTAGAGGGAGAGAGCCGCTCTGTTGAGCCTGCAAGAAGCAGACGAAAGAGCTCACACCAATGAAGGACCAACACAAAATGGGAGTGGGAATGGTTTGCCGATAAGAACGACAAGAACTACAGAAATGAGAATAAGTGAATGAGAAGGCAACCTCCACTCTCCTGTAGCAGTTCCATGATGCGAGAGGATTGCGTCGCTCTTGCTGCTACTTGAGATGTCTTTTCTCGGCAAGTTGAAACTAAGTTTGGAAATTGGGCAGCTCTGGCTTGACGGCGCAGATCGCAAATTGAATTATAATCGTTCGAATTTGGGATCGTCGATCAAAATCTAGCACACATCAAAGGTGCGAGACAATGGTGGCAGGGTGGCGTGATGTAGTGGATATTTGTTGTGGTGGTGGCATAAACGGTACCTTCCATGATGGCCTTGCACTCGTCGTGGAGGTCCTTCATCTTCTTGGCGAAGAGCTTCTCCTTCAGATCGGCGAACTCCTTCTCGATCTTCTCCATGTCCTTCAGCACGTCCTTCCTCCTCTTGGCCTCCAAATCATCCACCACAGGCGCCCCATCGCTGGACGATGCAGCCGCAGCCGTTGCCGTGTCGCCATTCCCTGCGCTCGACCCGTCAGCAGGCTCCCTCGCCATCATCGACTCGGCCGTTCGCTTCTTGCTCCCCGCCTTCATCTCTTCACTTCAATCTCTGCTCGCTACTTGCTCAATCTTCTTCTGCTTCAATCCTGGCCTGCACCCACAAGTTCGCACGCGCAGCTTTCCGGGCGAAGAATTCCCAGACCAATCTGGGATTGCAAATTCCACAAGATATAGCTCCACACAAAGAAAACTCGTTTCCTTCTTTTTTCTTTCTCTTGTTAAGTGTGAAATACGATTGCTGACTTGCAACCTGCACTGCGACGCTGCATGAGGCCATATCCTCTTTTGATGCAATGTTAGTGTTCCTCCTCCCATGAAGGACTGCGGTTGCTGCTACAGCAGACCACAGTAATTGATTTGAAAGATCAAAAGCAATGTACAGTATAGTATGGTGTCACTGGGAGTGACTCACAGAGCTGCTGTCGAAGGACTGACCCCACGCGCAGCGCTCACCGTCCTTGTCCTGTGCAAAGAGGTGGAGCATGGGCAATGCCGCGAGAGTGGCCATCGGCTGGTCGAGGGCGGCGCCCAGGAAGCGGAGGTAGTGGAGTATCCGGTGCGGGGGCGCCACCACGAATCGACAGCACTCGCCCTGGCCCGTCGCCGCACACGTAACCTCCACCGCCGCCATACTCTGGCCCCACAGCTCGCTGAACCAACCGGACCCATAACCCGCTGCGCAGTTTGTTCGACACACATCAGTCATCCATCACACGCACACCACCGCACACGCACACATCGCACACACCGCACACACCGCACACGCACACACGCACGCGGGGAACAGGGTACCGGCAAGATAACAGGTGGGTGTGGCGGGCGTGGTGGACACTGACGACCCCTTGTTGACGCTCTGCGTGCGAAGCTTCTCCTTGGCGTGGTGGTGGGCACCACCGTTCGGGCCAGCACCACCGCTGCTCACCGGCGGTTCGCTCTCGGTCGCCCACGCCTCGGCCTCGACGCTGTGGTACAGGTCGTAGATCATGTAGTAATCGTGCGCGTTGGCCGCCGCAATGTTGGACATCTCGTGGATCACCACCTGTGGTCATTGATTGAGCATGCTCGGTCTACGCAACACCCTTAGGGCCAGGAAGGGGAGAAGGTGTTGTGAGTGTGCGTACCTTGCCCCAGCCGGTGTGGGTGCAGTGGGCGCGGAATCCGACGTGGCATTCCGCCACATTCCGCGACGGCCCCAGCGCGTGAGGTCCCTCGACAAAATTGGTGAGGTCTGCGTGGCACCAGAGGCTCTCAGTGATAAGAATAATAATAATAAGAAAATAGAAGAAGTGGCGCACCAGCCGAGCCCAGCCCCCGGCCCAGGTCGAAGAGGGCGTTAGAGGCGAACTCGAACGCGGCCTTATTGGCCCGAGGAGCGAAGACGTCGCGCACCAGCGCGTGGAACTCGGTCACCATGGCTGTGTGCAACCACAGGCGGCAAGCAAATCAGACATGGATTGTCACAATGAACTGATAAAATGATGATCTCCAGGCGATTGCGCACCTTTGGCGCACACGAGCACGTATCGGTCTTCGTTGAGCGTGATCTCGCCCGTCGAAGGCGAGCGCTTCATATCGCTGTAGTGCTCATGGAACCGTATCTCCAAAGCTTCCGATCGCCATTGGTCCGTCGCCCCTTCTGGGGCTTCTTCCATACCCTGCTTCCATGCACGACACGCAGGACGACACACGACATATGTCACAATGTTAGGGTATGTAAGCACCACCTAATAATCAAAGCCAACCCGTGCCTTGCGAGTCTTAGCAGACTTTGTCTTGGCCTTGCGCTGTCGCGAACTGATGGCCCGGCGCGTCCGCATCTTCCTCAAGTACGCCGTGCTGTCAAAATTGTTCTTCTGTACTGCCGACCCCTCACCGCTCACTGCCGACACTAAACCGTGAGTTCGTGTGTGTGTGTGTGTGTGTGTGTGTGTCGTTGTTGTGTGTCGTTGTTGTGTGTGTGTTTTGAAGAGTGGAACGGCGTACGCTTCATCTCATCGCGCGGAATTGGAGAGGAAGTAACCATCAGGCCTCGCGGTGAAATGAGGAACCTGTGCACCACACAGGAGTGAGTCAAGCAAGTCCTCCGTGCATAATCAAGGAGGACCCCCGGGGGGAGTACCGTGGCGATAGGATGTCGTCGCGGAAGTTGACCTTGTTGCTGACGGACTTGGGGCTCACCTGGCTCTCCTCTGTTCGGTCGCGTTCGACCGTTCCCATCCGCTCCTCTCTGGCCAAATCCCCGAACCTACATTTCCAACGAGAGCTCCATTAAAACCAGTCATGGGGCATACATAATGGGTTGGTGTGGTTAGTGGGGAGAGAGGTGTCGCACGCACCTCTTTACATGTTCTTTCAGCTTATGCGGCGGACATATGATGAACTGGCAGCACGCATCGCCTTTTCCTTTACACAATATCTCTGTTGTAATGCAATGTGGGCAGCAAAGAGAGTTATTCGGCGGCCAGGTCAGGAACGTGGGTAATCTCTGGCCATACCTTTGGCCACGAGCTCGAAGCCGTACGATTCCTGACACCAACCCGCAATGTACCCGGCGCTCATCGCACACACGGGCTGCGTGGGTCGCTTCTGGGACTTGCTCCACGCCTCGGCCTGGCATAATATGCGGTTAGAAGCGGGGTAGTTGAGAAACCGTGTGGCGCAAGCCCATGCGATTTACCTCGAACGAGAACGCGTTGTGACACACCACCAAAAAGTTGTCGTCTCGCTCGCTGATCCGACTGTCTGGGTGGATATCCACGAAACACCACCCCAAACACGCGAGACTGACGAACCCTGTGTGTGTGTGTGTGGTGTGTGTGTGTGTGTGTGTTAATGTGTGCACTAGCATGTCCGCGCGCGTCGAGTGGCAGGTGTGGTGATGTGAGGAGAGAATGGGGCTAATGCACCTGCCGCCAGGTTGAAGAATGTGGCGTCCATTCCGGTCATACTCTTGAACTGCTTGCAGTCCGACCTGCCCGTGCCTTGCATGATGTCGTACAGCAAGTGGCCCAGGAACTCGTGGCATTCACCCGCACTGTGAGACACAACCAAAAGAAGCCAATAAGCACTCACTGCGAAATAAACCTCACCACGCCAAGCAGAAAGCTGTGCACCTGAAGCCAAAGGTCTTCTTGAGCTGCATGTAGAACCCGACGCTCAGCGAGTCTCCCCGCAAGAGAATATATCGATCCTTGGCCTGATGGCTGTGCGCAATGTGCGGTCAGGAATCGTGCACGAGGCCTACCCAAGGCAAGGCCTAGGCTGGAAGAAAGATGGGCCAAGGCACGTACCTGAGGGGCTGCGGGCCGGGCTTGGTCGGCTCCGTCTCCGTTCGCGGCGACGTCGACGTATCGACCTGCTCGACGATTGAGATGACACCTTGCTCTGCTGGACGAGCCGTCATGAGGCGCGTTTCATACAAAGTACACCACGATTACCACGCGTAGAAGAGACTAATGTACTTGTGTTGCGGTTTATGCCGTCAAAGTAGTCCACCACCAGCCGTTCGGCCTTGGAAAAGACCAGCGAGAACCGCTCCGGCACCGACACACACTTACACAGCGTGCGGCCCTATGGATACAGCGTCATTAGGGCATGCAGTGCTCGAACAAAAGCATATAAATCGGCACCGTACCCCGCTTGCCGATTCCAGCGGCTTGCTCTTCATGGCCGACACGAAATGTTGGAGCGCCGAGAGCGCGATCGCTTCCTCTTCCATCGTCACCGTGTTGGCGCGGAGCTGGCCCTGCCGGCCAAGTCAGAGTCAGCTCGTGGCTCCTCTGCTTCCTTTAGAGTGAACGCAAACAACACAACGCACCCGCAGGCCGCTGATTGTGTTGGTCATGGCCGCGCCCGCCTGGTTATTCGCCGTAGTGTAGTGCTGAGACGACGCCGCCGTCGTTGACTTGAGGAAGAGGCTCTGTGTCCACAAAGGGTCGAAACACCACCACTTTGAAGCAAGAAGAATGGAGGGGGGGGGGTAAAAAATACAACATACCTCGCTGGTGAGCCCGGCGATGAACTCGTGGTAGAGGGGTATCTTGGTCCTGAGGAACTTCTCCCACCGCATGCTGCGCTCCTTCTCCGCCGCCGACGCATGCTGGTGCTGGGGCTGCAGAGAAAGAGAAGGTGAGAGGCGAGCTGTAAATAAAAAAACGAGAAAAGGATGAACAATTCCCAACTGAAGTGGTGGGCACCTGCAAGAAGGAGGCCTGCATGCTGGTGTTGGCCAGGGACTGCAGCAACTTGGCCACAGCCACAAGGTGTCGCATGACTTCCGCCGGCAGGTTGTTGTTCTGCTGACCTGCTCGCACCACCAGGTGTAAGGGCTCCCGCTGATCGAGGCCGGAGAACGTGAGTGCGAGGTACAACGTACTGTCGACGAAGCCCATCTTGACGGGCGAGACCAGCGCGGGGCAGATGAACCGCAACATGTAGAAGCTACCGATGACCGAGCCGTGGCCTCGCCCCGTCGGAAAGTGCTTCGACAGCTCCTTGTGCAGGATGTAGCACACGCTCGATATTTGGCTGCAACACGCAACGGCACACACGACACACGACCCGCACACGGTGAGTGCGATACGATGACCAAAGTGGGTGGCAGGAGGTACCTGGGACAATAGGAGAGGGAAGAGCAGATCTCCTTGAGCAGGAGCGAGGCGCTCTCGGCCACCTTCTTGTCCGAGGTGGAGGGCGAGCGGATGATCCGCATCACCTCCGTGCGCAGTAGCTGCCGCAGGTAGTTGCCGCCGATCAGGGTGAAGTCCTGCGCGATGATCTGGTTCCACAGGCTGTCCTCGCGCAACACCGTGTGCTGGTCCACTACACAAGGCCATGATTCAGTGAGTCTGTGATGTGCGTGTGCGTGTGTGTGTGCGTGCGTGCGTGTGCGTGCGTGCGTGCGGTAGCGTGGTCGTACGGGAAGAAGAGATCTCCTGGCGGATGGCCCACTCGAGCAGGTCCATCGCCTTGCCGTTGGCTTCGAAGATCTTTACGAGCGTCTGCGCGATGGTGTTGTAGTCGGCAGGGTCCACGCGCTTGCTCAACTGGGTAACCAGTTGTAGCTTGGGGCTCATCAGCACCTGGACCCACACGAGCGTCAGTTGTTTCGTTATTACAGCCACCTCATGTGGCCTTTGGCGGTGGTGTGCGAGGTACCTTGCGGGCTGTGTCGAGATCACTGCAGAACGAAGCGTGGCCGATGGGCGCCAGGCTGGCCATGAGCGAGAGCGCGGAGAGGGCCTTGCGCCCGCCCGCCATGTGCTCACCGCGGGGCGAAGAGGAGTTGCGGGCTTGCTGCTTCCGCAGTGGCGACGGAGTCAAGAACCCGAGCGACCCTGAGCGGCACACCAGCACATGTCAGACTGGAATGTTGTGCATCCCAGGTGGGTGTGCGTGGCCGTTCATGTACTCATGTCCGTGCTGTACTGGTAGTCGCGACCAGCACTCAAGCTGCCGCTGTGGGAGTGCGACGGACCCTCAGGCGAATGTCCTGTGTCATGTGTGACCTGTTGATCGGTGCTCTGGAACTCGGGGAATGCAATGCAGCCAGGAGGGAGAGAGAGAGCACATACCTGGATCTTTGCGTTGCGGGATGAGGAGCTTGAAGCGCGGCTTCGATCTCGCTGCGGGAACAGCGGGTAGCCCCTCTTCAGGAGTGGTGGTTGTACCCCACTCCGTGTCGCTCACTTCATGGTCCTCATCGTCTTCATCGTCATCCTCCTCTTCTCCATCGGTCGAGCTGTTCGTGGCCAAGACTGTCTTGGTGGGCGGTGATGCGTAGATCGTGCCATTCTTCCAATTGTTCTTCGTGTTCTCTGCTGTCGCCTCCGCCTCCACCGCCGATGCCGACGCCGGCACTGACAGCTCTCCTCCGGCCTCCTCCCCAATGACCATGCAATTGTCGCCGTTACTGGGCAGCCTCGTTGCTACCTCCTTCTCGCTCCCCACGTCGACCATGATGTAGCCCTCTTCCCAGTTCTCCTCGTCATCGTCGTCACCATAATCCTCGTACTCCTCGCCATCACGCTCTTCAACACGTTGCTGGGCCTCGGCCTGGGTCGCCTCCAGCGCGCTCGTCAGGTCGACCTTCTTTTTCTTCTCTGTGTCTTCTCCTTCTGTCCTGCTGGCGACTGTGCCACGGGGGCCACCACCGAGTGCGCCACTGTCATCGGCGTCGTGGTAGTACTCATTCCACTCCTCCATGATCGTGACCGAGGGCCGTCTTTTCATGCCACTGCGACAAGCCTCGGGCACAGGCTCGCCCTCGGGGCTGGAGCTGGGGCTGAGGCCGGGGCTGGCGAAGTCGAGCTCGAGGTTGTACCCCTCGGCCGGACTGGAAGACGCTGCGGCCCGGGCGATCTCGTTTCGCTCGCGGGGCGAGATGGCCTCGCCCACCTTGGCCTTCATCTTGCGCAGCATGCCCCTGGCGCGGGCCTGCCGGGGGGAAGATGAGGGAGATGTGGCGGCCGCCGCATTGGTCGTAGCGGTAGACCGCAAGGCCGGGCGCTCGCTCGGGCTGCTGGCGCGTCTGTTGCCATTGTGCGACTTGTCTCCGCGTGAGATGGTCTCGCCCCGGGTGAAGTGGTAGAAGATGCCACTCATCTGTGTCTCTCCTTGAACAGCGTTGCCTCCACCAACCCGTTCCGAAAGAACAGGGACAAAACAGAGGACCCTTGACAAGGGGGAAGACCTGTGATGTTGATGTGGATTGTTTGGGAGGTTGGCCTTCTTCTTGTTGCCTTGTTGTGTTGCTAGACTGAGCCACAAATGGAAATTGGTGGTAAATAAGGAAGACCCAGAGTTTTTTCTATTTGCAGCCAAGGAGGTGCTGGTGCCTGTGTGGTGATGAAGTCGCAGAATGCAGAAGCCCTCCTGGTTTGCGTGTCACGCCTTAGCCATGCGTCTCGCCCTTCTCGCCAGCCACCTAGTGCCAGAACAATGGGCTTGGTAAGTGTTCGGTTGTCCGAGACCTCGTTGCGGGAGGGGGAAAATGGCGGTGGCGGTGGCGTGTGCGCACCCTCTTGAACTCGTTCATGTTGGTGGCGGACTGGGCCTGGCCGATGAAGCGCAGACGCTGGATGACGGTGGTAGGCTCCCCACCCTGGTTGCTCTCTACAAAAATGGTGATCGAGCTCACGTTCTGGAACTTGACGAACCTGGCGTGCCAGAATGGTGATACGTTGCCGAGTGAGCACACGGTATTAAGTTGAGCCAATCTACTGGGAGCAAATAAAGAGGAAAGGCAGAAGATGGGATTGTACCGCAGAGGGACAAGCTTGTCGCCCTTGACGTCGTCGGCCTTCAGCTCGATCACTTGGGTGGCGGGCGCAGAGTCAACCGACTGGAAGTCCATGTCTCGCTTGTTCACAAAGAGCTTCACCGTCTGCGGAGCCCGGCCTGTCGACACAATTTCCGGACCGCCGATCAGACTTGTAAACACGGCACACACGACACAAGAGTGTGCCGGCAGAGCGCGTACCATCATCGGGCGCCTGAAAGCAGAGCGAATGGATCTTGATGGGCTGGTTGAAGGGGATATACAGGAGGAGCTGCTCGTCGGTGTCGCTCTCGAGGAAGGAATCGTCCTTCTTGAAGATGTTGTCCCACTTGTGTTCGGTGCTCTGGTTGAGGCACTCGCCCTGCGCCTTGTCCACGTTCTGGGTCACGTCGCTCTGTGTATGTTTTGGCGTCAAGAATTGAGCACTTCGACATGGTAGCACACGCACACCGCACACACCGCACACACCGCACAGAGAGGCGACAGGTCAAGTGGTGCGTGGCACTACGTACGTGGCCAGCGGGAAGCTTCAGGTCGCTCTCCTCTTCCTCGGCTCCACCGGCACTGCTGTGCTTCTGGATGAGCTGCTCGAGCCTGGCTGCGTTGGCGCCCCTCAGCTCGTCGATACGTTGGCCGTTCTTGATGAATATGAACGTGGGCATGGCGCTCACGCCGTGCGCGGCGGCGATCTCTGCCTGCTCATCGACATCCACCTTCAAGGGGGAGGGAGCGTGCGCATTTGAGGATGATATGCCACAAGAAAACATCTCACTCAATCGAAGCGAGAAGACAAACAGCGAGCTCATAATGTGGAAACGTACCTTGACAAAGTCGACTGTGGGGTACTTGTTGCTCAGTTGAACGAAGACGGGCGCGATCGCGTTGCAGGGGCCACACCTTGATTTTAAATAAAATAAAAGTTAGAGTTGCCACGCGTGAGTAGGCGAGACGGGTCCATCTTGAGAGACGAGGAAGAGTTGCAAGCACTGGCTTACCACTTGGCGGTAAAATCGACCACGGCCAACCGGCCTGCGGCTGTGGCAACGAGCAGCGCCTGCGCGTACTCTGCCTGAGATCCAATGACCTGAACTCTGCCGTGATCCATCTGCTCGTCTTTGGGTGTCTACGTGCTCCTTTTCACTTGCCAGTTCAACAGATTCGTTTCGTTGGGCTGCCAGCAGTCGTTTGCGCGGCAAGGTGGTCAAGAAAAATGTGAGAGAAAAGATGTTTTTTGCCTTCGAAAATTGCAGAATTATGTTCTTGCAATTCATTGATTTGAAGCCAGAAGATCAAGATTAGCCATGGACTTCTCGCTCCCGGAACAGAAAAAGAAGAAGAAGACCAAGCTCGTGTCGTCCGCGGTCAATCACGTAATTCCGGGCGAAGTCATCACGCAAGAAACCGGCTACCTTCGGTAAAATTCCGCTTTGCTCGATTAATCGTAATTATTTGAGAATGGCAATCGTTCTGTTTCGCCTGACTCCAATCTCAATAATCTCTGCAGAGGACATGGAACGTTCGTGCAAGATGAAAAATTGGTGGCAACCATCAGCGGCGTGGTGGAGCGCGTGAACAAGCTCATCTCCGTTCGACCGCTCAAGTCCAGGTGCTTACACAAGCCCCTCCCTCCACATCTTTTCAGTCTCTTTACCTTCTTCCTTGAGCTCATCTCATCCTGCGCTCCTGCTCCGCCTCTTCCTTTGGCCAACAGGTACACTGGCGAGGTGGGCGACGTCGTCGTGGGGCGTATCAAGGAGGTGCGCGTTTCCTTCATTGCATTGTGTCGTGTCGTGT